CCTCAAGGGCGGGCACGCGTCCCGCGCCGTGATTGGCCGAGGGTCCGCAAAGGGGCGGAACCAGCGGGCGCCGCTGCCTCTGATTGGCCGCGGGCAGGCCTGGCTGAGGCTGCGCAGGGGGGGGCGCTTCCGCCCTGCGAGCCGGCCGGGGCCTGCTCCGAGATGACGGGCACGGACACATATGCGCACGCACTGGTAGTTATGCACACACGTACAGGTGCATGTATGCACGCGCATGTGCACACCTATATGCATGCACGTACATGTATGTATGCGCACACACGTGCACATACGTATGTACATGTGCACATATATATAGGCGCACATGCCCATACAGGTATGCGTGTACATACACACGTACATAGACACGTGCACATATGCATGCACACAATGAAGGGTGGAAACACGGGGGCCCAGTGCTGGGTGTGCAAACGCAATGCTGGACGCGGGCATCACGAGTGCCTTTTGCACGAGGGGCTGCAGCTGGCGTGCTACGCAGCCCTGGCCGCTGCCGACGGCTGGGTGAGGCCCGTTTTGGAAAGCGGAGGTGGGGGGTCGGGGGGTCTATCGCACCTGGCCTGAGCGGGTAGGCGGGCACCGGCTCCAGGCGGAGGGGTTCATCCAGGACCCTAAACCGAAAGCCCCGTCCCGGCTCCTGCGTGTCGCAGTGCGGGGCAAGGCGGGCAGGAGGAGCCCCCCCACACCATCTCGCAGGCTTCGCCCGCCAGCGCACACGAGAAGCGGCGAAGGGAGTGAATTATTTATTGCAGCCGAGCCGAGGGACCAGGCAGCTATTTTGATCCTCTGCTGCAAGATGAGATGACCTCACCTGTTGCCGGAGCAGCCCGGCCTCGCGGCCCGGCTGCCGTGACCCGCGGCACCACACTGCGGGCAATGTGCGGGGGAGGGACGTGGGACAGGGCAGCATGGGCCGGCCCAGCCTCCCCGACCCACCTGGGACCTTTGCTGGCTTCCTGGAGCCTCACAGCAAGCAGCTGGCCCTGTAAGCGCCTCCCCAGGGCTCAGCGAACTGGGTGACAGTGCCCGAGGGACACAGCTCAGTGCACAAGGCCTGGCCTGGCTGGCTGCCCGTTCACTATTAATTGCACACGCACACACGCCTGCCCCCAGGAAAGCACTGGTAGCCAATGCACGTACATTTACAAGGCTTGCGCCCACCCCTCGCTGGCAGCAAGGAGAGGCGGGCCTTTTTTTTCCTAATAATTCATTTCTGGGCCAAATCCCTTCCGAATTAAGTTCTAAATTTCAACTGAGCAGAGCTCAGTCATTCACATCTGCCTCGCACTACCACCAGCAAGTCTCCTCCCTCCCAGACTCCGGGTTTGTGATGCTCCCGCATCCATGGCAGGCCCCCGGGTGCCTCCGGGGACCTTGGAGTTCAGCTACCCCCTAGTCTCCCTTGCCCCAAGCTGAAGAGCAAGCTGGAGGGAAAGTCTGAGCCATCCCCCATCACCATAAACCATGCAGAAGAGATCATACACGGGGAGGCACTTGTACTCTGCAGTGCAAGGGCCAGGCCTTCGCCCTCTGACTGCACTGAGTCATTCAAGGCCCAGAAGATCCTTGCTCCGCTCTCGGCTCACGGGTACCTTCAAACCCTGGCCTGCAGCCAGCGGCAGGGAAACAGCCTCCTGCACAGAGCGATGTCCCCGAGCCGCAGGATTTACCACTCAGCAGCTGGTCGCAGGAGCCGAGGCGCCGTGCCAGCCAGGCCGGGGGTAGCTGCCCCGTGCCCTGCCGCAGGCCACGGCCTGGGGGCCCCTTCCCCGCGCCCCACGGCCTCTACAGCGGCCGCGCTGCCCTTGCTGTCTGCCGCAGGCACGAAGCGCCAGCTAATGTCGCTGAGCAAGCGCGAGGACAGGGCAGACACTGGACACCCCCTGCCCCCCACCAGGTCCTTCCATCCACAGCTGTGACCTCCTCCACGGAGGTCCCTGGAGACGCAAAGAGACGCTGCACCCAAGTGTCCCTGCGCTCCTCATACGTGCAGCACCCCAGGAGACAAGGGATGGAGATGGCTGGGCCTCCATCGGCGGGGTCTTGTGCAAGACACACAACACGTGTGCACACACGCAGCACATGCGTACGCGCACTCCTGACCTGACACACCAGCCTGCCACCACCCCCAGGGGCCTCACGCCCTCCCTCAGGAGCACCTGGCAGGCTGCGCCCGCACCCCCCCCCCCGCCCGCTCGCCCCAGTCGCCCTGGCTCCGCTCCGGGTGGGTGTCAGGTGGCTGCTCGGCTCCCGCAGAGCTTCCAAGTATCTTCCCCACCCATGCACACCCATGCACACGCACACCCATACCCTGGGAGCTTTTCCTGGCACGGATCCCTCCCCTAAAAGGCCTGAATAATTCGGGAGGCTCTGGGAAAGGCTTCCCGCAGGGCAGGGCAGGGCAGGGCAGGGCAGAGCAGCCAAAGCCCGGAGGAATTGCTGGGGCTGGATGTGCTGGGGCCTGGCCTGGCCTGGCCACCCGGCCGGCGAGGACGGAACCGGGCGGGCTCCGGCAGAAGCAGAGCGCTCCCAGCCTGGGGAGAGGCGCCTGGGTGTCAGAGATACCCTCCTGAGCCCCGGCTGGTGCAGGAAGGGCTCAGGCGCTGTGCGATCCCGGCAGGGGGAAGCGGTGGAAGCGGCACAGGCAGGCCCGGCTCCCGGCTCGCTGCAAGGGGCGCTCGGGGCCCGGGGGTGCCGGGGAGGCGGCGTGGTCCCGCCGGGGGCAGAGGCTGCCCCCGGGGGGTGGGGGCAGGGTTATAAATGTCTCGGTAAAGGTTAAGAGGCAATCAGCAGCCCAGGTCAGATTACCTGCCCGGGTCTAGAAATAGCGGTGTGACCTCCCGGGCTGAAAGCAACACCAGCGAGGCGAGTGGCCCGCAAGGGGCAGCGGGGCTGGCGGGCACAGCAGCGCGGGGCCGGGAGCCGGGAGCCGGGAGCCGGAGCAGGCCGGGCTGGGAGCCAGGTCCCGGGCTCTGCCCAGAAGGGGCAGGAGCCGCGCTGCAGCAACGGGAGCCCGGAGCCCTGGTCCAGCCCGTGCCCTGCTTGTGCCCGGGGCACGCGCCTGCCCCGG